TGGTGACTTTGTTTCCCTGTATAACCCAGCTCTCCTCAGCAACAGGTTCCAGCATCAGCAGCTGCCTCTTCCCCGCAGGGTCGCAGCCCGCCACCCTGCAGGCAAACATCCCTGCTGCCGACAGCGAGACCCCACGGCGCCCTTGGGTTTGGAGCCCCTGCTCTATAAACTGCTTCAGCCCAAGAAATTGCTCTAATATTGGGCGATAACAAATTCAGGGCTAATTCTCCCCCCCCCCACAAAAGCTTGCCCGCTAGAAGTGTGAACGTTGAGTTACTCCATAGGGCTGCTTCCTTACCCGCTCGCGGGAAACGTTAGCGGCAATCAGGGCAAAGCTCAAGGGAAAAATAAAGGAAGGCATACACGCGCTGCAAAGAGAGAGAAAAAAAAAGCTGAATTGCCAAAGATGAAAATTTTTCCCCAAAGCCCACTTGCTTCAGAAAGGCTTTTCCATCCTCGCTGACAGCAGACGTGGGAGCCGGCTCTGGCCAGCATCAAGCCGGCGGCCTCCTTCGCTGTTTCGCAGAGGAGCGGTGGTACAGGCAACCCTCCCACTGCGCGCTGCTGTTTGTTTTAGCGCTTCCCACTGAATGTCAGCGGAGACTAGAGAACGACAAGTACACAAAGATACCCACAATAAATGCCAGCCCTTGTTAGCTGAGTAAATTGTGTGCTTAGCCGAGTCTTAGAGGAATCTTTGCAGAGTAAACACTGCCAGTACTATGTGCGAGAGTAAATATGTGAAGAAGACGCAAAGACGTGAAGAACGACTTCAGAGGAATGCGATTGAGCGGCACCGAACGCAACTCTGCCGATGGAAAAGCGTTGCTAGACCTGGGCTAGGAAATGGCTCGATGGGCACGCCGAGCAAATCCCGCCGTGGCTGCCGCAAGGGCTTCGAGAGGGGCCGAGGCCTCAGCCAAGCCATGTTCCTCTCCAAACCTGAACCTGCGCCAGCCTGCAAAGCTCCTTCTCGCTCATTAGGTTTCAACCTTTAAAGTTATCTCAGGTGCCCATCACGGGAGGTAACAGCAGCATTGGAGCAATTAAAGATGTAACTAATTAACAGGCGGGAGGCGCGGGGTGGCTGTGGCGGCTGCACGGGGCGATGGCCACTCCCGACGTCAAGCCGGGAAGAGCAGCCCAGCCTTCGCCCTACTCCTAAGCTCGGCTCCGAGGCAGAAGGCGGCGCAGCGAAGAACAAGCCACGGGCCGGAGGCAAGCTGTGACCGTGCTGCCACCTCCCTCGCAGCTCTGGCACGGACAGAGATCCTCCTCAGTGAGGCCTTATATTTGCACTTTCGAGTAACCTTTATAATAGGACAAAGGGGCTGCAGCAACTATTTTCTTTGTGCTTAACAGCTTTCTCCTTCAAAACAAGAGATTTCGGAGCAAAGCTCTTGCAAAACATTATCCATCAAAATACAGAACTCGGCAAGGACTGAGAAGTAAACACTGCGGCCGCACATCCTTTGCCACCAGCGATGTGAAACCCAGCGTTTTGCGAGCTAATTCACAACGCCTTTCGCGTTGTTTTTGAACGGACCCAAGTGAAGCTGTGCTCTGCAGCTAAGCGTTTTCCTTTACAAAGTCCTGAATATATCAGTTTCTCATGTCTCCCTCGAGGTTTCCCCAGTAACATTTTCAATTTTACTTACGCTGATGACAGGATGATTGAATTCAAATCGAAGAGATGATGCGTTTGACAGCTTGCTCATCATTAATAGCAGATTAATTATTTTAGTGCATGTGAAGGAGTTAATTTAAATGCCAGAAATAGGAGCATGGGCCTTATTTAAGTTTCTTTCATCGTTATTTCTGCCGGCTGCCCTCCCCGTCCTTGCCCTCCCACAGGGCAGCAGCAGAGGCAGGAAGATGGGTGGCAGCTGCGGAGGTTAGGGGTATCCCAAGCAGCTGGAAAGGAGGAATTCCCTGCTCCCAGCCCAGGGCAAAGCCTTCCTCCCGGCGGGGCAGAGGAGGAGGGATGCAGCAGCAGCTCCTGATGGTTATTCCACACCACCTAGTGGCATCGGCTCACCCTGCAGCTGCAGCAGCGCGGCTCCCCGCCGCGCCACCCCCAGCAGCGCGGCGTTGGCCTGGCCAGCTCCAGTTCACAGAAGCCTCTTTTAAACCCACGCGTTTCTTCAGGCTGGTTTTTTCCCCCTCGTTGGTTCTTCTTCTGTTTGCCACTTATGACTTAGTAGCTATATTCTAAGACATTGCATTTAACGAATTAGGCAGTAAAGAAAAGCAAAACCGTACTTCGACCAGCATCCCGAACTCAGTCACCAAATGCACGCCTGCCACACAGCGCTCTCTCTGCTTGTCGTTTTTTGAAGCAGGACGCCTCCTTTCCCAGACCAAGGCGGAAAGCCTCTGAAACCATCAAGCAGCACCACCCGCTCAAGACAACAGAATAGCAACGCTCTGCCCCCTGCTTTCTCCGAGCGATTACGATCCAGCCTGCTCTTAGCTCGGTGAACGCTAGGACCGCCCCAGGGGACAGCATTAGTGCTGGCCATTACTGCCGCCGCACGGCTTTCTGCTCCAGCTGCGGGCCTACCAGACCTGTGAAAAGACGGTGTTTCTTTAGAATATAAGCCTTTCCCATGGACCACCTGAAAATAAATTTGTTTATACCAGCTACGAACAGGCACTCATAGTGGACAATTTTTCCTTAAAAAAAAAAAAGTTAAAAAATCCCCTAGGCTTTATAAAAAATGTTTTTTTAAACTCCTTAGTAAAGCTTTTTCTTACGCTGGAAAAAGCTCAGAGTTTCAACATCTCCTAATGAGGCAGTCACTCACTCAAAACGAAACCAACTGCCCTTGAAAGCACTTTGCAGGCAGGAAGATAAGGCTGTCCAAAACCTATCTTGGGATCCAAGCAGATTCCTTGGTTTCAACTTCAGACGTTTCCCAAAGGGTGCACTCATTCCCAGCTCTTTGCACAAGACACAGTCAAGATGCTGCAGTGCTTCCCTTAGTTCCCGTAGCTTAGCATACCCCTAAGTAAAAAGAACACGGTTTGTAAGAGCCATTGAATAAAAGTATTTATTTTAACATGTTTGCAGAGCCACACATACAAAGTTCTCACCATATCTGTGAGCAAATTACCCTTTTACCCCATGTATCTACAGATGGAAAACATTTAATTATTTACTTGCGCTACAAAATAAAGTAGGTCTGATGTCAAGTCACTGTTACTCATCGTATCAGTGTTCTTGCTTCGTTACTATGAAGGTTTGAAGATTGAAATGTTTTCACAAGCTGATTTGCATATTAAATAATCAAAGGGAATCCTTTTAAGAAGAAATCTGTATTACCAAGCTGTTGCTAGTTATAATAAAACATGAAATGGCATAGAAACACTCTTAAAGTGCGTTACTGCATCTAAATAAATAGCAGCATTTATGCCTCTTCAAAACAGAGGACCTGACAAGGAAGGGATAGTGACCAGAACAGAAGTATTTTGCACTATAAAAAGAAAAAGCTGAAAAAATATGCAAGGCAAAAGCCTTGTGTCATCAGTCTATAAAGATACAGCTTAATAACAAGGGCTTCATACATACGAGACAGAAGGTGTTCTTCAGGAGGCCGGAGGACGCAATGGCAGAATGCCCCTACATCTACTGAAAATACACACGCCCACACGTACGCTTCTTTGGGATCGCAAGAAGTGTCTCCCCTTTAACCGCTGCCTAGCACAGGCCGTTATAAAACGATAAGCCTGTAGTGATAACAAAGCAGTTTTTATCAAGTTTATCGCTGGTAGCAGATATTACATCAGTCTGATAAAATCAAGAGGATTCCAACGCAGTAATACATTAAGTTCATGGCTTTCTTCGCCTAAAAAAGGAAAAAAAAAAGCCCCAAGCAACTTTTAGATTTTACACAGCAGCAGTTTTCCTTAAGAGCAGTCGATAGCCTATTCACCTATTCTGCTGTATACATCTCTCACACCTCCTAAGCTAAGAAATGCAACAATTAACACAAGGAAACTAAAGAGCTTATTTATCAAGAAACACTTGTATTTTGCTTTCTTTTTTAGACAGCCATGAGCGTAAAACAAAGTTTTATTTAAATTATTTAATAAGTTAAAATAAATAAGCTCCAACTTAATACACAGGCAAACTAAAGGATTTACTACGATGTTACAAGGCTGTAGCAAGGTTGCAAGTAGCAGTAGCCGCCTTGAGCAGGTCCCAGCTTCTAAGAAGAGATGTAATCACGTATATGCGAACGTGACGAAAGGCACCTATTTGCACCTTGTCTGAAAGAGGGATTACTGACTTCAGATACTCTCCAAAATACCCTTCCACCATAGCTCCAAACTTCTTGGATTCCAAATGCAATACGTTTGGTTCCTTTTGGCTTCACAGAAACCTCTTGACCTCTCCAGCCCTCTCTCCTGCCTGCAAACTCGTCTTGCAAAACTGCAAGTTTTCTTCCCCTGAGCTGAACAGGTGACTTCCACAGCACTGCCAGCACCTATCTGCAAGAAGCCAAATCCACGTATTGAATCCTGTTCTGCAGCAGCTAGTTTAACAAAACTATCTTCTCTGAAGCATTTCTTCTGTCAGTGAAGTGTTTTGCCAGACGTGGGGCTCAAGTGTTGGGCGCTAGCCTTACAAACTGCAGGATCATTTGGACTTTTTGCTAGAAATTGGGACTTCTGACTTGGTAAGCTTGCAGTTATGTGTGCAGCCACCACTGATCCCACCATGTTAAAGAACGGTAAGACAGCCCCGAAGAATTCAGACTGTTATCTATGCATTTGGAAAAGAGGAAAGTTTCTTCTAGCACGACTAGAGCCCATGCTTCCTTAGTAGGTTCCTTGATAATTACAGAGCAGGTAGCAGCTGGAACATGAGCCACGTTCAAGTATACCGTTAGGTACATCCTACGGTCGCCTGAGTTCCCTCCTCCCTGTGGAATTACTGAAATTGTAACCTCATTTAATTTAAATTTATCTAAGGATACAAAAATGAGTATTCTTTACTACATCAGCATCTGATAAAGGCTAGGGGGACAGAAGAGGGATACAGCTTAGTACCTTGTCACTGCCACCCCTAAGCCTATTCCACTCTGGACCTGCCAGGCATCCTACAGTTCCCAGCTTTTGATAGCCAAGAGAGCACAAGATCAAACCCGATATTCTACTCACTCCACTGAATGCCAGAGTTTTACCCAGAAGACAGGTGAATAATTCTGCTCAGAGTCTCCTACAGATCTATCCTGTCACCAGTTCCCAATACTGAATAACCCTGCTTATCTTACAGTATTAAGGAGGTATGAACCTCAAACCTGAAGCGGGAAGGACAGCAAGGTCAAGGGGGGGGAAAAAAAAAAAAAGTTCTCTCACTTTAGATGTTATCAGGAAAGAGAATGCAATACCCCAGGAGAAGGGAGAGATGCACTTACTTGGGCTGAGCATGATGCTGATATCCAGGCCCAAGAGCTGATCCTGCCCTCATCTCCACCGCCACAGAACACTGAGAAGACACAGAAAATCAGTCTCTGTTGCTAACCCCTCACCCGGCTATCAGCACTACCCCAAATTCTCATCCAGATCAAGCATGAGGTGTCCCCCTCCTTCGTTTATAGCTTACTCTGGTTTCCACATCAGTCCATTCTGAGTCTGCAGCATCCTCGGGTGGGTCAGGATTGGAAGGTGAGGATCTTCGCTTTCGACTGAAAGAGGAGTAAGCAGGAAAAAAAAGTTACACGCGTCATGTATTTTGGCAGATTCTCATACACAAGAGAACACATTTTATACTTTCTAAATAAATACTTTGCTCTCAGCAGCAGCCCAGCCCTAAAAGCAGCTACAGCGTCTATAGGCCTCTCCAAGTTACTTTTATACGATTTCAAGTGAGATGCAACAACGCTTTGTTCAATCATTTGGACCAGAATCAGCTACTATTGGAGTCACGTATCGCCAACAGCATCAGAACCTAAAATTAAGTCAACTCACCCAGTTGGAGATTCTTGCTTCAGAGTCTCTATCTCGGTGAACTGCACGGCCTGTCCACCACCCCTGGTTTTGAACACATCACCCTGGAAGCCAAAAGCAGTTAACAAGGCACGGTCACTAGGGCAGTGCGATGGCTACGGCGCCAGGTTTCTCATGGAAACTTAAGTGCTTAAAAATGCCATTTCCCTGCAGGTTAGCAGCCAGCAAGCGTATGTGCACAAATACACTCTCCCCGCTATCTATCTTCTCTCATTATACACAGGACAACAAAGTGAACACCATCTCTCCTGATGCTCATGCAAGATACCCACAGAGCAGTCGCTACGATGACAAAGATTTTTGTATGGGGATGACTAAGTAATACTACAGAAATCATGTCGTGGGCTTAGTTTCAATAGTTCCATTCCACAGCACGAACAGGTATGTCGTCAGCTATGCAAGACTCTGCTTTTGAAAGCATCGCTGGAACCTACAAGGTTACCTTACAGGAGCGAGAGCTTTTTTAAAAACTCAAAAAGAAAGAAGACAATATTGGAAGGCCCATGACTGTAGGAAAAATGAACCAAAAGCTTCTTGCTACAAATTACAAAGAGCTCTCAATTTGCCTTAGGTAAGTACAGTCAGCGTTTTGGGACACAAACATTGCAAGCGTTCAAAGCCTAGGCTGTCTCACCAATTTGTTTGTCAGTTGACTACTAGAAATTATGTCCTGGAGCATTCCAGCATCCGTCACTGCAGCAAGCTCACTCATACCGCTAGTGAAAATCCAATAACATCACTCCAACAAGACCGACTCCACAAGATTAGCTGCAGCCACAAATCTAAGAAACTTCCACTACAAATGGATTATTGCATTTTACTAGAGGAAAAAAAACCTTAATTACTTTCAAGGAAAACGATGACTGAGCTAACCAAGCTTGTAATGGTTCATAGGAAGTAATGACAAAGTTCAAGAAAAGTCTTTTCAGACTCTAAAAGCTCCCTTGAATCCAACTGCACAAAACTTCCCAATCAAATCTCTTAGCGGATCGAGTCGAAGGTACCCTTTCGCGAGCCAGTAAGCCTGTAGCACAAACACATTGCCCGAAATAGGTTTTGACAGGGTTATCGCAAGTTTACGACGAAGGCGTTTGCTTTACCTTAATCAGTTTTGTTTCAATCTCCCCATCGGAGGCTAGCTCCTGGTGCGTCAGCATATACTTGTCACACTTAGCTAGCGCCTTTTCACTTGCAGCCGCTACCGTGATGGCATGAGGGACGTGCGGCTGCATGACTGTTTCAGTGGGCAGATTAGAAGGTGGCTTATGATCTACCCATCTCTCCCCAGCTGAGCGCGACCGTCTGTGTCTGAGACGAACTGGAGGTGCGTTCTGATCAGAGTGGAAGAGAATCAGAAGAAATCAGCACACAGTAAATCTCTCAGAGGATATCGTTAGCAGAAGTGAACTTTGCAGGTCTGGTTAAGATGCATTTGTATGAAGATCAAAGCTTCGTTCCTAAAGCGCGTTCAGAGCGCATCCTGAAAGGCACCGTTACCAAGAGCTTTGCGTAAAATTATTCATGGATTATTTCTGTGCCAATTCCTATTTTTTGTGAATTTTGGCCAAGTGTTATCCAATCTGTTGCATTCCATACCTAGTAAAGTTTCCTCAAGGAGGACATCTTTATGTTTGGTAATGCTCCTCCCGAGTTTCCAGATCAAAACGGATTGCTATGAACACATTAACCAGCCAGAAAAGAGAAATTTAGGTTTCCATGGATGCATTCATGGATCAAAATGTATTTCTGAGGTAGCAAAGCAAGCAGACTGAGTATGGATTTCCAACATCTCTAAAGGATGCAAGACCTCATAGCACTTTTGAGTAAACAGAGCAGAGGAAGCGTCCCCTGTCCTGGTGCTATCGCTTCTGAACTCAGCTGTTGGAAACCCATGAGAAGTGATGGAAGTTCACACTTTTTACGAACATGAACATTATTGTCAGTTGCTCAGGGAAATCAGAAAAAAATCTGGAAACTTGTTTAAAAACCTAGGTGCCTTCAAGATCTTTGAAGGGGCTTTTGAAAGAGTATTTGCAGACTCTCTTCCATTTACATACTAATTTGAGAGACCTCTGAATCGTGGCGAGGTTACACAACCCAGACTTATGAATGCAAATTGTATCCACTGTATTTTCAGGTGATGAGCACCAAATAGGATTTCTTTGACCAACAGACGTGAGATTGGCTGTACCCTTTACAGATAAACCTCTTACAAATCTAAAGCAGCTCTTAAAAATTAAACGTATATAGGGAAATGTGGCATTCTGCAAAAATCTTCCATTAAAATAAAAAAAAAAAAAAAGGAAAAAATAATTTCAAGGATTCCCCCCCCTTTTAGCGGGCAAGTACTTATTTCCATTGATGGTTTTTTTGAAACAGTTCTGCCAAGGTGCCTTAGAAGTTATGTTCCAAGGAGAGAGTACGCTATGCTGGTCACATTTTACTGCGGCAGAGACCGCATCCCTTACTCTGCTGACAAGCGTTCGTGTATTAGTTAATTGGAATAGCTTTTGCTTAAAAGCGTGTCCCTGACTTCAAAGAGCCAGCAAGTAACAGAACTTTTGAGAACGCTATCGAAAAATGAATCATACCATGATAGACTTTCCTCCCCTCGAGCAGCTCTCTCAAGAGGCTGGGGTTGTACAATTCTCTTCGATTTACCTGAGCCACTGCAACAGCGCTATACCGCGACAGAGACACCACCGATACAAACATTGATACACACCAGTTTAATGGGGGGGGGGGAAGTCTCCCACCTGTAAGCAAAGCCCCCAGTTTTAACGCAGATGTGAAAATTAAGGAAGACTATTCTAAGAGAGCTGAAGTTAACAGTCACACAAGTGAGATGTTTGTCCCAGCACGATTTCCAGTAGACATTTGCAGATATGGCTCACAAGACCACCTTTTAAGCTGCCCAAACAGACTACGGTAAATTGCAGGCTACAAGATAGATTTGAGGAGACAGACACAAGTTAAAACACAAGGACATTCACAGCTAGAGAAAAGGTCTAGCTAGTCAGGAGTTCCTTACAAGAGCTATCTACGCACTAGCAAGAAAGACACACGCTGCTTTTAAGGAGTTTTTAAATGTCCGGTTAAAAAGTCAAATAAGAGAGTAGTGAGACTCAACTTGGAAACAGCACCGTTGCATGAGAAATACATTTAGGAGAAAACTCTAATCTGTGTTAGGTGTGCTCAATGTAAGACAGCAGTTGTAATGAGCTTTTAAGCCAGACTAAGCAACACTACGTTTAGCTTTTGACAGGAGCAACACTAACCCTGCATTGATCCTCTTCTATTTCTAGCTCATCTCTACGCCTGGGAACCTCAATGACTCCAGTCCAGCACATCCCTCGCCTTCTGTCTGAGGGGTTATAGTCTCTACTTTGTTCTGGTTCTTGTTGTCTAGTCCTTGCATTAGAAGTGCCACTGGTATGCTTGTGCGAAGGGGTTTTCTGCTCCCATTCCATAACACAGGATGCCACAGAAATGCTGCTACAAGAATTAGAACGTCTGTGCACCTGCGAGTTGCTCACGAGCCGCTGGCCGTTAGCGACCTGAGTAATAAAGTTACTAGAAGGCTAGAGAGAACGGGAAAGAAGTTAGTGAACATACAGAACTGTCAACTTCAGGCAATAAAACAATGAATACTGACAATGTGCAGAGTGACAATTCAGCTATTCAGCTTTCGGACAGGTATTTTGTTGCAGCGACAGCATTAAGAATCAGGTATTCTTCCAATACCAGTAGCATTAGAAGGCAGGAGCACAAATAAAGAGCACTGATAAACACAACAGGGGACAAAGAATTCAAAGCAAGTTTAAGTTATCCAGATTCTGTGCTTGGGAGCTATTTTCTAGCCACTAAAGAGAATTGGCCTACACTTTAGTTCAGTCTTATAAATATGCTTTTCCCTATATCAAGAGGTGTTTTAAAGGCAACTTACAGGTACTGGTGAAGGAGACACTGATCTCTGAACAGGCTTCTCTCTGTCTCTCTCCCGCGAAGGCCTTTCTGGCTTTTCATTTTTTGGTTCAGTAACAATGGCCTTCAGTTGCTTCAGTTTTTCATCTTTGACCCAAAGTTTGTTCTGCATTTCCAGCTGCTTTGCTGCT